CGTTCGGGTTAGAGTTCAAGCTTCAGCGTAACGCCCAAACCACGGGTTTTATTATCTGGTAAACTGAATCCTGGACGAACAGCCGCGTACCCCTATAAACCCAAGTCGTAGACTATAGAACACGGAAGATCCTAAAATCCTAAGCAACCTGGAAAGCCTGACAGTCTGAAACCTGAATTGTGGCCCATAGTCCTTGCATCCTCAACACTAGCCGACAAACTCATTACTTGAAAACTCCCAACCCCAATCCTTAAGGGGTGTTTTAAGCATGGAAAAAATAGAACGCTTAGTACAATGGTGCTGGCCAAGGATGGGACGGGGTTTGTTTGACTGCGGGTCCTGCAAGCAAAGTATGAATTTATTTACAGGGCGAAAATTTGGACTGCACCCTGAATAAGTCAGCTTCCGATGTGGCGAATCATGTATGAACACGTATATTTTCTAGTCTGAAGGGACAAGACATACTTACTGCCAGGTGGAGATCACCACCGTTCGTCACAAGACAAAGAAATAGGGTTTATCCACGCCTTACATTTTCTATGCAATTTGACGCCTTCACAGCAGCATCAGATGTCTGATTTCTGCCCCCGTAAACAGGCTTTCTGTAGGTGCACTGCACATGCGAGCCACCCGCAGTTATTGAGTAAAGGCTTTCGGAGCGATCACATCAAAACCGCCAGCGCTGCGTGAAAATCGTGCTTCCAATATGAACTGCCGAGGAAACTAAACTACATCTGCACATCATTTTGCCGACCAAGAGCCCTCTCCCAATGCACGTGTGGAATATCTACTGTTCGCCTAGCTGGAGTGCGCATTCAACATCTTGGCCTGTCGCGTAGTGCGCAGCTGATACGGCTCACGGTTCGCGCAGCTTAATTGCAACGTATGAGCGTTACGCCTCGTCGACTCGCTTCAGAGCGCTCACTTCGCACCTGTGCAGCTGCGTGCTGGGAAAACATTAATTCAACGCTTGGTTGGGGGCGGAAAAGAACTGATATTCGTCAGCCCGGTGGGACCAAAGCAGGGCATCCACATTGCTAGAACGCGAGTGCATTGCATTTGGGATTATTCCGCCGTCAGGAACGCTTCAGGGGCAGCGCCTAATACCAGCGCCAAGGTGAGAAACAGGAGAAAGTGCCGCATAGGAGCAAACCATCTACTGACGAGAATGCAAGCGCAGCGACTGCGGCGCTAAAGTCAAACCCT